TTAAAGAGCACACTTACTCACCCACCTACCTAACCCACCTCTTCTTCAGACCAAAAGAAAAAGAAATAAAAACACAGTAGTTAGAGAATTGGATGATTATGTGTTGTTTTTGACCTACTTGCATGAGGTGCACATCAAAGTAGGAGAGGATGATTGTAGCAGGGAAAGGGTGGCACGAAATGGTATTCTCTGTTTCATTTATTTTAGATACTTATTGGAACCTACGGAGAGTTCATTCCCCAGTAAAAGGGTATGACAATGTAAATTACCTTCACGGTTGACATTTTTACTATAGACGGTTGTGAAGGGGCAGATGTTAATAGAGAATAATCTTCGAAAAAAAGGATGTTATGTTATTGAGTAATGCTATATTTGTAAGAGGTATTGGGAGATGATTAACCACTTTTTCATTCATTGTAATTAGGTCTAATTATCCGCTAAAAAATTCAAAAACTAACAAAAATGCAAAAGCATGCTCATAGTAAACCATAAACCATCTAAAAAATTCATAATGAAACATTTCAATAAAATTACTTCTAACTTGCAAACTCAATATTTAAAAAAAAATCAGTAAAGTAGCAAATAATAAATTAACGGAGTATTGATCGTGTACAAGACCACAAATCCACAAACACAACAAGAACTAATAGTCTAAACAACTAGCTATCCAAGAATTTAGCTTACTTTTAATTCGAATGAATAAAGAAACTAGAGTAAAGGGAAAAACATACAGGAACAACAAGAGAAAATAAGAAATAGAAAAGAATGAAGACATCACTTGTGTATGCATTCTCACTTGTCCTCTTTTATAATTCCTAGTTCCTTTTTCTAGTCTTTAAGGTTGTGTTTAAAATAACCCAATGAACTCCTAGCCTACGAAAAAAACTCAATCCAAAAAGCCAAGACCATTAACTGAAAACCTAAAAAATGGAAGACAATAGAGCACAAAAGACTTATGCCATGAAGTATGCATCGCAGTAAGTAAAGGCTTAAAACTAATGAGAGACGCAAAAGCGTAAGCTTTAAGGCTCCTAATGAAGGTCCAACATGAGGCGCGGTTCAAGACGTAGTCTTAAAAGCATGTGTGACAATAATTGTTTGGCAGCAATCCCTATCTTAACGATCTCAATTCTGCTATGTCCACCTATGGATGTAGTAACTAAACAAATTTCAAGTATCCTCTTTTTGCTCAAATTGCATCACAATAGATTATACACTTCAAAACTACAACCCTATGAGACTTGTTTAGGTTTACAAAAAAATATCCCTCCAAACCCATTTCTCAAGTTGTTACATCAAAACTATCGATATCTCATTTAATCAAAACCTTACCCTTTAATTCCTTAACTGTTAAGACTTGAGGTTCCATCTTAAAAGGTCAACCTTGTTAGAAGGAGTAGTCCAAGACCTTATAAATTAGTCTATATTTTCATCTTTATTCGATGTGGGAATATATCCCTTAATATGGCCCCGCAAGTTAATGGCTCATTTTGAGCAGACCAATCTTGAAATTCTTATGCTCATTTATTGAGTCTTAATCGGATCGAATCGCTCGTTGGAGCTTAATGAGCTCTGATACCATATTAAGACTTGGGTTTTATCTTAAAATGTCAACCTTATTAAAAGGAGTAGCCCAAGAACTTATAAGTTGATCTATATTTTCATCTTTATTCGATGTGAGAATATATCCCTTAACATCAACCAAAACCTACCCATAGTTCCATTCAAATGATCAGGAAACACAATAATAAGTGAACTCCAAGAAACAATTCATGTCATTTACCTAGAAAGGAAAGTGATTGCGTGGAAGTGATTTTTTAAAAATCATTTTTCTCCACACCCATTTTGAACCATACATTCTCAAAATATAATTTTTCACGTTTTCCCATAAATTTTCCTATATTTTAACCATACGTTCTCAAAAAAATCATTTTTCAAATAATTGTTCCCCCACAAGGGCTAAAGGAATAATGATGCCACATGCAAGCAATAGGTGAAGTCACCAAATTAGTAGCTTTCAAACATCTTCATTTATTAAAATCTCTCCGCATTCAAATTGATACCATGTGCAATCCAACTCTTGCAAGTACAATCTCATCTCAATCCACATTTATTTAAATATTTTCCATAGCGGACAGGAGATAGTACCCCATGGCTCACTCACTGATAGGTATTGTCTCACTCTTTGAGCTATGGTCGGATTACGGCTCCTCCTCTGCCTTTTGGGAGTGAAGGGGAAGCCTCATGCTCCACAACTCGAAGTGAGGAGCTCATGCGCTCGTCACATGCCCAATAACATGCATAGTGCATCAATCTATGACCTTTAATGGTACCCCCAATATAAGTCCACTTTAGTTATCCCCTGATCTACACAAGAAACTCTTGTAGATGACCTCCTTGTCTCTTCTCCGCGAGCTTTTTATTGGTATTCCGATCTGGCTGGTGATAGTGGTGTGAAGAAGGCCTAGAAGCCCTTCAAGTTTTATAACCAGTGGGTGGATCATCACACATCCCTTCCCTTTTTAATATAATTCGAAAAGAATGAATGATGCTACTATAGGGAATCCTCTGTTTATTTTTTGATAGGGAATCCTACGTTCATTAAAATCAGAAGCTCAAAAAAGGGCTAAAGGCAAGACTCAAAACTTGGGGCAAGCAAAACAAGGTATATAAATTATATACTCAAAACATGGAGCAAGCAAAACCATGTGTATAAATTATTTGGACAGCTTACACATATCATCAGCACACTGTCAAAAAAGTTTGCTCATCAATAAAATAAAATTGGCGTTTTAACCTCTCCTATCTGGCTCACTTTCTTATTTTATCTTTCTGTTGGCCTACTTCTGTACTTCAACTCCACAAACGACCCAGATTTTTATATAAGTGTTACTTTTCTAATAATAGAAAGCCATCCGCCAACTAGAAATTGAAGTCACGGCACTCCTTGTCTGGGGGCACTGACCTAGCTGAAATACCCCTAAAGCTTACAGCCATTTCCTAAGATCAACAGTTGGACACCATGGTCTATGAAATTGCTATACATAATATCACTCACTTATTGAACACTAAAATTACAAAATGGCTGCTCTACCTATGAACTTTTTTATGTGAAAATATTATATAGGTTAGTTGAAAACAAAAATGTTATATACACAAGTAATATGCACTTCTAAGAAGATAAGAATAGGGCTGGGCAAATCTTCCGAATCGAACCGAACTGAACCGAATCCGACAATTCTTATCAAATTAAATACTCGAACGGATATCTGAATTGAGAACCGACGGGTACGGTTCGGTTCTCGATTCTAGACCAAGAACCAAAGAACCAAATCTTGCTAATTTTTTTTTTTATTTTGAGTAAATCAAATTATTTTAATTTTAATTTTTTTCTAAACAAATTAACAATTTCTAAGAAAATTTGTTTCATTTCTAATTTTTTAATTTTTGGCTCAATTACCCATTTTATTATTTCATTTCTTAGCCCAACAAGATCCAATCCACTAAATAACCCTAAACATCTATACTAAAGTATATAACGCTGTCTTGACTCTCGGACTCACTCTAGCAGCCTCGCTAACATTCCAAAATCTATACAATCGTCGGTTGACACTGTGACCTCTGCCGATCGAAACTTTGACCGTAGCGATCATTTGAATAAGGTAGTCTACTAGTCTCTGACATTCTAAAACTATTGAATGTATCATTAGTTGTATTTATATAATATTGTTATAAATGTTAAAAAAATTAATTATAGTACAGAACCGAACGGAACCGAACGGTTCCATAATTATATTTGAACCCGACAGTTCCATTTACTAGATAGCCGAAAATTTTGGTTCGGTTCGGTCTCTTTAGAACCGAACCGAACCGACCCGCGCCCACCCCTAGATAAGAAGGCATAAAAAGGCAGCCTATATACTTCATTTAACAAGTTGAACTCATCTACGGTTTATATTAATCTCACAAAGTTAACCAAACTATTTATAAGATTTTTTTATTAGTCAATGTTTGAAAACGTATATCCATCTTCTTGGCATGAGAACAAAAATTCTGGGACTATATTGAAACAATTAGCAAACTCCTGGTGATGTTTTTCAACTATCACTCCAACATGGGATTTAATTGAAGATCCTTTAAAGCATATTGAGCCTCATTATCAATGCACAACTATGCGGAAAAAGAAATTACCAGAATATATACTCTACCAATAAAGCTAAATAGAAAAAAATATATAATAATAATAATAATAAATTGATGAATAAATAAGATTACTTCATCAGGAAATGAAATAGCTGCCGGTTCTCTTCACTCTTTGATGGTTGACTCTGCAACAAAAACATAACGCTTTCCATCAACAAATGGATCCAAATTCTATGGTCCATGAGCATCTTTCTTTTGCCAGGAAATTAAGCCAGAGAAGCTTTTTTTTGACTTTATTTTGTGGATTTATAAGATTTCCATTATAACCTTTCCCCGGTTAGCAACACATCCATCTTTTTTAATTAACATTTGAAGTAATTAGTGTTAAGAAATATAGGATTAGGATTATTATTTATTAAGGGTAGAATAGTCCTTTTTAGTTTTCTTTGTTTAGCCTATATATGTTCTCTTTGTATTTAGGTTAAACCATCTTTTAGCATTCAATTAATTACGTAGTATCAATGAAACCCTAGCCTCCTCCTTTTTCTTCTTTATTTTCTTTGGATTGTTTAACATGGTATCAGAGCCAGATTTCATGGGACAAAACTTAATCTCAATCACAACTTTTGAGGATCCAACTTTCATGGGACAAAATTATTTCTGGTATTTCTGCAATATTTTAAACCTGGTATTTCTGCAATCTGTTATTTCTGCAATCTAGTATTTCTGCAATCTGTTATTTTTTTATTATGGCTACTGAATGAAACAATTCGCTTTAGTCTGTGAGTGTGAGGTTGGATGGAAAAAATTATTCGTATTGGAGTTACGTGATGAGAAATTTTCTTACGAGTAAAAAGATGTGGGGATTCATTAGCGGAACTTCTGTGAAACCTGAGAATACCAATGAGGATTATGCTACTTTGATAGATGCCTGGGAGTCAAACAATTCAAAAATTATTACTTGGATTAACAACTCTGTGGAGCATTCCATAGGTCGAGAGTTGGCAAAATATGAGACAGCAAAGGAGGTTTGGGATCATCTGCAAAGATTATTCACTCAGTCAAATTTTGCAAAGCAGTATCAATTGGAGAATGATATACGAGCTCTTCATCAGAATAATATGAGTATTCAGGAGTTTTATTCTGCTATGACAGATCTTTGGGATCAATTGGTCCTTACAGAATCGACAGAATTAAAGGCATGTGCTGCCTATATTACTTGCAGAGAGCAGCAACGGTTGGTACAACTTTTAATGGCACTTCACAGTGATTTTGAAGGACTCAGAGTTTCAATTTTGCATCATTCTCCACTTCCTTCTGTTGACTCAGTTGTCAGCGAGTTATTGGTTGAAGAAATACGTCTTAAGTCTTATGCTGAAAATGGAATTATGTCTGCTTCTAATCCTTTTGTATTAGCAGTGTCTTCTAAGCCATCCTCTAATAATCAAAATAAGCCTTACACAAGGGTTACCTTTGACGAATGCAGTTTCTATAAGCATAAAGGTCATTGGAAGGCTCAGTGTCCTAAGTCGAGACAGTCGAATCAATTACAGCAGCAATCTCAAGCTTGGAAGCCTGGCAACCAATCACGATCTAATGCTCATAGACCACCACAATCTAATACTGCAGCAGTAGCTTCATCAGGTCCTTTCACTGATCCTAGTACTTTGGCTGAGCAATTTCAGAAATTTCTCTCCTTACAGCCTCAAGCTATGTCTGCTTCTTCCATAGGTTAGTTGCCTCATAGTTTTTCAGGTATGTCACATTCTGTATGGGTCTTAGATTCTGGTGCTTCACATCATATGTCTCCAGATTATTCGTCTTTTGCTTCTGTGTCCCCTTCGTCCTCTATTGCTGTCATGACTGCTGATGGCATTCCTATGCCATTAGCAGGTGTTGGTTCTGTTGTCACACCTCACTTGTCCCTCCCTAATGTTTATCATATTCCGAAAATCACATTAAATCTTGCTTTTGTTGGTCAGTTATGTGATTCTGGTAATTTAGCACATTTTCCTCTTCTTGTTGTTATGTGTAAAATCTGCAATCTCAAAAGCTGATTGGGGCAGGCCGTAGGAAGGGTGGACTATATATTTTGGATGAGCTAAAAGTGTCAGTTGCTGCTACCGCTACTAGTGTTGATTTGTCTTCGTTTCGTTTGAGTCCTTCTTCTTCTAGTTTTTATTTATGGCATTCTCATCTAGGTCATGTTTCGTCGTCTCGTTTGAGATTTTTAGCTTCTACAGCGTCTTTAGGAAATTTACACCCTTGTGATTTTTCTGATTGTAGTGGATGCAAACTGGCAAAATTTTAAGCTTTACCTTTTAATCGAAGTATTTTTGTTTTTTCTTCTCCATTTGATTTGATTCATTCTGATATATGGGGGCCTTCTCCTGTTGCCACAAAAGAAGGGTCTCGATATTATGTTTCTTTTATTGATGATCACACTCTTTATTGTTGGGTTTATTTAATGAAACATCGTTCTGAATTTTTTGAGATATACTTAGCCTTTCGTGCTCTTGTTAAAACTCAACATTCTGTTGTTATCAAATGTTTTAGGTGTGATTTGGGTGGGGAATACACTTCTAATAAATTTTGTGAGTTGCTTGCTTTAGATGGAACTATTCACCAAACTTCGTATACAGATATTCCTGAGCAAAATAGTGTTGCTGAAAGAAAACATAGGCACATTGTTGAAACTGCTCGTTCTCTTTTGTTGTCTGCATCTGTCTCTAGTATGTTTTGGGGCGAAGCTGTTCTTATTGCCATAGGTTTGATTAATATAATTCCATCTTCTCATATTTCAGGATTTTCTCCTTTCAAAAAGTTGTATGGGTATACCCCTAATTATTCTCTCTTTAGAGTTTTTGGTTGTACTTGTTTCGTTCTTCGTCCTCATGTAGAACGGAGCAAGTTGTCATCTCGATCTGCTATTTGTGTCTTTCTTGCTTATGGTGGAGGTAAAAAGGGGTATCATTGTTTTGATCCAATAACTCAGAAACTTTATGTGTCTCGTCACGTTGTTTTTCTCGAGCATATACCTTTCTTTTCTATTCCATCCACTACTCATAGTCTGACTAGATCTGATCTTATTCGTATAGATCCTTTTTCTAACAGTCCTGATAGTTTGTCTTCTCAGGAGCCTACTACTTCAAATGTCCATTCTCATGTTCCTACCCCGTTGTCTTTACAACCAATTCGTACTAATCATTCCGCAGGTACTGACACTTTACTCTCCAGCACACCCGAAGCGTCCTCTTCTATTTAGGTTAAGTCATCTTTTAGCATTCAATTAATTACGTAGTATCAATAAAACCCTAGCCTCCTCCTTTTTCTTCTTTATTTTCTTTGGATTGTTTAACAATTAGCAACTACGCAAAATACCACACTGGCACAATTTACTTGATCTAAAACACCAGTTTCTCCTAACTTACATCCCCATAAGTTCAGTGCAAAGAAAGATATTATCCTGCTCCTCAAATTCTCACTACATTCCCAATCTATATATATATATAACCTACTATCTGATAACCATCTCCACTCTTTGAAGTGAATAATGTCCCTCCGCCAAATAATGTTTCTGCTTTTGGAAATTTCCTTTTTGACTCTCCAATGACCTCCGTTACTATGTTCTCGACTATTTCAAGACAATAAAGAAAAATCCATACTCCCACTAGTAAGTATTTCGAGTTCATAATCCAGCTATGGATACTATTTTACAAGTTTCACGCATGGACCGTATCTCATGTGATAGCTTTAAGAATTTATAATCAAGTTTAATTGATGAAACACATTCTAAGATATGTACTATTAAAATAATAAAAATTCAACAACCCATACTTCCGTATAGCAGCTTTAGCACGCTGCAAAATGCATTGAGGGTCCATAATACTACTTTAAAAAGTGTCCCCAATTACAAACAGAAGACTAAATCTTTGGTAGGGCGGTGGGGCGCAGCCCAATGCTGAGGTGCCACCTCGGCGGGTGGCGCCCACACCTCGGGGGTGTGCAAGGGTGTGTGGTGAGCCACCAGTCGAGGTGGCACACCCTTGATGGAGATGCGACCACCCCACCGAAGTCATGTCCTTTCAACATGACATAAAGATTGGAACAGAAGCAAAACAAGATCCAAATATACATTAATAATCTTCCTAAAAAATTCAAATTCAAGATTTTTCGATGTTTCTTGAAAAATACTAAAAGATCAACAAGAAATGAAGTAAAAATCAACTAGAAACCCATTCTTTTTCTGGAAAGTGAAAAAATGACACCACCAAACTACAGAAATTATAAATAACAAAAACTAAAGGAAGTTGAAAAAAGACCCGACTATCAAGTTGTCTGAAAGGGCTGGGGTTGAAGTGGATGGTAAATCAGGTGTGTCAGCGGTGTTGGAGAAGCGTGAAGAAGATATATGATCCATGGCTTGTGAAATTGGAGGGAAAGCTGAGGGGTCCATCATCCATGACCTTCTCGAAGGCCACTGCTGCCATAGTAGTAGATATATGAGGAAATTGTTGGAAATGACCGGAGTTACCATCCCTATTTGCAAAGTGACATTTGACCAGTTTTTTAATTAAAAAAAATCGAATTTAAAACTTAAAATCCCAAAATACCCCTCGGCTCTCACAAAATCGAATCTCACAAAACTGAAAAAGCAAGGATGGTTTCCAGTCGATCGGAGAGATTGCTATCCATCGCCGGTGAACAATCTTGTTAAGGTAACCATTATTTAGTTGGATTAATGTTTAGATTTTAGTTAAAGGTGTGAATGATTTATTTGTTGGGGATTTTTTCAATATATTTTTGTTTATATAAGTAAAATAGGATTTATATAGTGTAAAAAAGGTTGGTTGGTTGTTTGAATTTGGAAGCTTTACTCGCCGGAAATGGTGATTTTCCTGCGAAGAAAGCTTGAAGAAGGCCGATTGTTGGTGCAGCCGACATTTTTTGCTTGAACCCGACTGTCGGGTAACACAGTCAACCCAAATTAATGGGCCGACTGTATGCCCTTTTTTTCCAATTTTTTTTACATATAATTTAATAATTTAATTTTAAATAATTTTTATTATTTAGTTTTAATAAATAATAAATTATTTAGTTTTTCAGATTTAAATAAAATTGTTACGACTAAATTTAAATAAAATTTTTACATATGATTTTTGTTTTAATAATTATTTTTATTTTTTCATTTTTGGTAAATAATAATTTGAAATAATTGTTGGGAAATTTTTAATTGTAATTTGAAATAATTGTTGGAAATTTAATTTGAAATTTAATATTTAATATTTATTATTAGTTTTTGATAAATAATATTATTTTCATTCATCGAATTTAAATATTTTTTGAACTTGAATTAATTAAGAAAATTGTGATAATTGGAAAAAATTGACATTATTGATAATAGGATAAAAAAATTCACATTATTGATGATTTTAATTATTATAAATCTGCGTTTTGCGTATTGTAGTTATAATTTCGTTCGCTAAATTTCTGTTATTACTATTATCACTTGTACAATGTTCTAACATTTTGAATTTTTACAGGATGGATTATCATCTTGATGCAGAGTTGAGACAGATGTCAGACAAAGCTACATGGAATGGTAGTTTTGATAGTTTCACAGCTGTTTTAGAGTTGCTTGATGATCAGCATATTGATATGTTGCCCCAATCCTTCCTGTGGCCCTTATACCCGTTGAGAGATTTGCAGTACTCGGGTCAGATTATTGATGCACTTCTATGTCGATTGCTGAGTCCAGTCGACAGCGGTGCCCTCCACTTCGCAATCGAGGGTAAAATCGCCAGTTTTTCGATGTTCGAGTTTGCTCTGTTCAAGGGATTAAAGATTACTGACGATGAAGCAGCTGGTGATGGGACTCAAAGAAGAAATATGCTTCATGACGCTTATTTCGAGAGACAGGTTACTGTGCTTCTTACACAGCTATTGGACGCAATCAAGAGGTGTGATCAGATGTTAGACAAACTGAAGTTAGGTCTGGTCTACATCCTTGAGAGCATGGTGCGGTGTCACCATAAGAAGACTGTGATCGACCTCTTCCATCTGGAGATCGTTGACGACATCGATCGTTTCGACGACTATCCGTGGGGCCGGAGATGTTTTGAGGATACTATACACGTCTTCACTAGATCGCACTTGAAGCCGAAGGGAGCCATGCATAAGTACGACACCTATGGATTGCCCCTAGCGGTGCAGGTAAATAGTTAACATAATGAATGTTAAAATTATCTTCATATCAAATTTATATATAATAATTGTATGTGTTGCAGATCTGGGCGTATAAAGCCGTTCCCATATTGGGTGCCTGCTTTGAGAGACGAGGGGAGACATGCTGTCCTCGGATGCACCATTGGAGAGCATCTCGATCGGAGGGACGTCCCACTGGGAAACAGTTATTGGCTATCTTTGACGACCCTTAGGTGAGTGTTATACATTTGTAATTTATATTGTGCGTGATTTAATATTTGATTGCATGATCATTAACTAGTTCAAATGTTAATATGTCAGCTTGAAGTCATAACTGAGTTGACGTCGTCGATGGAGGAGGAAGCTCAGGGTCTTGTGCATGAATTAGGCGTTTCGCACACCGAAGACGACCATATGTCCGATCCGATCCACGATCGAGATTAGGTGAGCGAATTGAATAAAATCTATTGATTACCGTTTTGTATGAGTTAGCATTTACCGATTAAGTTAATAATTTGTAATGTTGTTGCTTGTGTAGAAGCGTGATCCAGTTGATCGACAATCACCTCCGTCGAGTGCATCACCACCTCCGCTGAGGGTATCTCCTCCTCCATCGGAGATGCCGTCGACGACATCTCCTCCGCCGTCAAAAGCATCTCCTCCGCCTCCCCCGTCCAAAGACCTTTCATGTAGATCTTCCGTACATAGTCAGGGACATTATTTTGATGTTCTGTACACCCATCTGAGCAGATTTATAGCGGGGTAGGTCGACGGGCTGCGTCGAGAGATGATAGAGAGGGTTGATGATCTGGGACAACAATTGGTAGGAAGGGTCAAAGGTTTGTCGAATAAGATTGTAGCACTTCAGGGTGATATAGCCGGTAGGCGATGGGTTGACGAAGACGATGATCGAGGGGATGATTGAGATGGTGATAGGGATGGGGGTGATAGAGATGGGGGTCTTTGGTAGTCACACATACATGATGATGATGCATGGGAATCGTTTATTTTATCCGTGGAGTGCGATGGGACAGGAGCAGTGACAGAGGGTGGGTCCCGTCGGGAAGGGAGAGGTTGCAGATGAGGGAGTGGCCCCATCAGAGACCGTGGCAAATAAGGGGATGGAGGAGGTGACGAGCCCTGGGGTGGAGGAGGTGGCAATGTATAAGGCAAAAAAACGTGCTGTTGACATGCCGGAGACGGTGGTCGGCAAGAGGCCAAGAGTGCCATCACAGTACATCGTCTCTTCCTTCATGGCTAAGGCAAAGAGGAGGAGGTTCGTCGATCGAACGTACTCCAATCTGTTCTTGGAGGTCGAACATGCCAAGTAGAAAGCATTCAAGGCTGAGTGGCGAAAAATGTTGCCCAGGTAAGTATTGTATGATTTAGTAGACTACCAGAACTCATATATGCTTCGTTTAACATTTTTTCTATTTTATTTCCAGAACCACGCACATGATAGCCGGAAGGACGATATTGGATGCATACAAGTGGTTCCATGATATCACCACTCAGGGGGCTTGGCTCGCCGAAGATGTAAATAAAGTGTTATTGTTACTTTTTGTATACGTTATGTTTAATTTGGTAAATGAAATAAGTATTTATGTCTTTATTTTCCTTGATGTAGCACATCGACATGGCCATGGACTTGTTGCATGATCGAGTTGAGAGATATCCACAATCATTCCACAAGCCTGGCTGCATAATACTTAACATTGAGTTCTTCCGTGTTGTTATCGTTGAGCATCAGTCCCTCCAACTTCTAGGTAACGAGTACGTGCTTCTCGCGTATATGCTCGAGTGGATCATTGGACTGTCATCGAATATTGGGGAAAAGCCAGGGGAGGGTTGTATGCATTTGTACATCCTAGCGCGAATCAGCCTGCATTGCATTGGAGATCGTGTTCCCTGATTTGACGATATACGTGTACGACCCCGATCATTCATGTCTGACATAGGGACAGCTCGAGTAGATCTTAGAGCGGGTGACTGTGATCGTTCCTATAATGGCTAGACATGTGGGCTTAACTGTGGATGACAAACTAGTCATCGTACGGGACA